AATCTCTTTTCCTGCCCACCAACATTCCCTTTTCCATTCTTGAGTTCAGAATAGAGCAACTGCTTTGGAAGATGGTGGTCAGGTATCAGGACAACGTGGCCAGTCCAGCGGAGTTGATGGTGGAGAACCATCGCTTCAATGCTGGTGGTCTTTGTTTCTTCCAGCACGCTGACATTTGTCCGCTTGTCTTCCCAAGAAATTTGCAGGATTTTCAGGAGGCAGCGCTGATGGACTCATTCCAGAAGTTGCATGTGACGTCTGTAGACAGTCCATGTTTCACAGGCATATAGCAGGGTTGGGAGGACAATAGCTTTATAAACAAGCACTTGGTATCCCTACGGATGTCCTGTTCCTCAAACACTCTCTGCTTCATTCGGAAAAATGTTGCACTCACAGAGCTCAGGTGCTGTTGTATTTCAGTGTCGATGTTGACTTTGGTGGAGAGGTGGCTGCCAAGGGTTTATCCATTATCAGCAAATCTGTAATGTATTTTCCCAGTCTTCTAAGGGAGATATCTCTGACGTTTTCCTGTATCTGGCCTATACTATTTGAGCTGCCACTGTCATGTAAAACATTTTCCCCCAAAAGTCCTTTCTAGTTCTTCATCAACATGTTCAAAAGGTACATTTGTGGTGTCATTTTGGAATTTGTGTTTAACATCTTTTCGAGAAATGCATAAATCTGTTTTCAATAGTTGTTTACTTTGTTACATGCCCACCACATGTGGTATAATGGGCCTTTTTCTTTCCCACATTTCCAACATTTGTCGGTGCAATTATACATCTTGCCTAGTCTCTTTGGAGGGAGATACCACCATAGGTGCATTCTTCTCTTTTTAAATGAGCTAAAGTGGGTGATGAATCTATTTGGTAGTCAAGGTTCAGCACCCTGGAAAGCTCCCTAATAGAGTGTGCCAACACCAGGCATGGACAAACTTTAGACCTCTAGGTGTTTTGGGCTTTGCCTCCCATAATTTCTATCTGTTTTCCTACCAGCTGTTAGTAATTGTGGGAGTTGAAGTCCAAAACACCTGGAGGGCCAAAGTCTGCCCAGGCCTGGTCTATTTTTATTTATTTATTTCATATATTTATATCCCGCCCTTCTCCCCACAAGGGGGACTCAGCGCAGTCTCTCATGAGCATCAGAGCATGCTAATAGCATAAATACCATAAAAATTACAATTCATTTTAAAACATTGTACAACATCATCAGTAAAATTAACAATAAATTAATAGATTAACGTGCCAGTAAAACCAAGCTGAGCCTGGAGAATCCATGTCGCAAAATCCAAATTTCCTTTTTCTATTGCCGCTAGCCTCAAAAACGCCTGGCCCCAGAGCCAGGTCTTCAGTTGTCTTCTAAAGGACAGGAGGGAGGTGGCCAACCTGATATCCTTAGGGAGAGAGTTCCACAGACGTGGGACCACTGCCGAGAAGGCCCTGCCTCTCGTCCCCACCAACCGTGTTTGTGAGAGTGATGGGATCGAGAGCAGGGCCTCTCCTGATGATCTTAAGCTTCGTGATGGTTCATAGTAGGGGATACGTTCGGACAGGTAATCTGGTCTACACTGTAGAAAGAATGCACTTTGACACCCCTTTAGCTGCCATGGGTCAATGCAATGAAATCATGGGAATTGTAGTTTTACAAGGTCTTTAGGAGAGCGCCAGAACCCAGGATGCATCTGTGCTATAGAATGAATGCAGTTTGACACCACTTGAACCACCATGGTGTAATGCAACAAAGTCACATGTTTGAAGTATCACAAAGTCCTTTCTAGACTTCCCTGACCTTGGCATCTCGCCAAGCTACAGCTCCCAGGTTTCCATAGCATAGAGCCATGGCAGTTAGAGCAGTGTCAAACAGCATCCATTCCCCAATGTAGATGCAGCCATACTCAGGAGAGTTACTCATAGAATCATAGAATTGGAAGAGACCTCGTGGGCCATCCAGTCCAACCTGCTAAGAAGCAGTAAAATCGCATTCAAAGCACCCCTGACAGATGGCCATCCAGCCTCTGTTTAAAAGTCTCCAACAAAAGAGCCTCCACCACACTCCGGGGCAGAGAGTTCCACTGCTGAACAGCTCTCACAGTCAAGAAGTTCATCCTAATGTTCAGATGCAATCTCCTTTCTTGTAGTTTGAAGCCATTGTTTCACCTCCTACTCCCTTACTACATCCAGTGGATGATGGAAGTAAGGAAGCAAGTAGGCCTTGAATGAGACTGGCTGACCACAAAGGGCAGGGTGGGATCTGACGATTGTCTAGGCAAAAGTCCTTTGTAGCCAAGACATTTTAGAAATGAGATGAAGAGCTGGGGCTGGGATATATGCCTAGCAGAGGGAGAACACGGCCTCCACTGTTTCATCCAGGCCTCCTCAAACTGCGGCCCTCCAACTGTTTGGGCCTCCAGTTCCCATAAACCCTTGTCAACTTGTTCAATGACCAGGAATTCTGGGAGTTGGAGGCCCAAACCACTGGAGGATGCCTGGTTTAAGAAAAGCAGAAGAGTCCTGATTTGGACCCACCTGTCAGAGTCTGCATTGCCTCTAATGCCCCTGCTACACAGCCATATAAAGTCCATCTTATTTGCTTTGAACTGGATTATCTGGCAGTGCAGACTCATACAATGCAGTTAAAAGCAGATAAACGTAGATTGCTAATCTGGATTATATGGCGGTGTAGAAGGGGCCTAAAGCTGGAACAACACAGCCATATAAAATCCAGATTATCTGGTTTGAACTTGATTATCTGGCAGTGCAGACTCATATAATGCAGTTCAAAGCAGATAAACGTGGATTATCAGTTTTGCTAATCTGGATTATATGGCAGTGTAGAAGGAGCCTAAGGCTGGATCAACACAGTCATATAAGATCCATTTTATCTGCTTTGAACTGGATTATCTGGCAGTGTTGACTCAATTAATGCTGTTCAAAGCAGATAAATGTGGATCATCTGCATTGCTAATCTGGATTATATGGCAGTGTAGAAGGGGTCTAAGGCTGGATCAACACAGTAATATAAAATCCAGATGAAGATCCGCTTTGAACTGAATTATCTGGCAGTGTGGACTCATATAATCCAGTTCAAAGCAGATAAACATGGATTATCTGCTTTGCTAATCTGGATTATATGGCAGTGTAGAAGAGGCCTAAGGCTGGATTTATAAATGTAGATTTATAACTGGATTTATAAAGCTGGATTTATAAGTGCTTTGATAATCTGGATTATATGTCAGTGTAGAAGGGGCCTAAGGCTGGGCAGCCATATAAAATCCAGATTATTTGCTTTGAACTGGAATATCTGACAGTGTAGACTCATATAATCCAGTTCAAAGCAGATAATGTGGATAAAGCAGATAAAGCAGATAATTGGGGGACACCTGTTCCACCCCACAACCTTCGTCTTGTGGGGTCCCACAGGGTTCAATACTGTCTCCCATGTTGTTTAACATCTACATGAAGCCGCTGGGAGAGATCATCCGGAGTTTCGGGGTACGATGTCATCTGTACGCAGATGATGTCCAACTCTGTCACTCCTTTCCACCTGCTACTAAGGAGGCTGTCGAGGTCCTGAACCGGTGTCTGGCCGCTGTGACGGTCTGGATGAGGGCGAACAAATTGAAATTGAATCCAGACAAGACAGAGGTACTCCTGGTCAGTCGCAAGGCCGAACACGGCATAGGGTTACAGCCTGTGCTGGATGGGGTCGCACTCCCCTTGAAGGCGCAGGTTCGCAGTTTGGGTGTGATCCTGGATTCATCGCTGAGCCTGGAGCCCCAAGTCTCGGCGGTGACCAGGGGAGCATTTGCACAGCTTAGGCTTGTGCGCCAGCTGCGCCCGTACCTTGGGAAGTCTGACTTGGCCACGGTAGTCCACGCTCTGGTTACATCCCGTTTAGACTACTGCAACGCTCTCTACGTGGGGTTGCCTTTGAAGACGGCCCGGAAGCTTCAATTGGTCCAACGTGCGGCAGCCATGATACTAACAGGAGCGGGGCGCAGGGAGCATACAACCCCCTTGTTGTATCAGCTCCACTGGCTGCCGATTTGCTACCGGGCTCAATTCAAGGTGCTGGCGTTGGCCTATAAAGCCCTAAACGGTTCCGGCCCAAGATACCTATCCGACCGCATCTCGACCTACGAGCCCACCAGGACTTTGAGATCTTCCGGGGAGGCCCTGCTCTCGATCCCGCCTGCCTCACAGGCACGCCTGGCGGGGACGAGACAGGGCCTTCTCGGTGGTGGCTCCTCGGCTGTGGAACACCCTTCCCGTGGACATCAGACTGGCTCCTTCCCTGATGATATTCCGCAGGAAATTAAAGACTTGGTTGTTCAAGAAGGCGTTCGAACAAGAAGTGCAATGATTGGTAATGACTATAGGATTGGAACAACGGAAATGATACTGGATTGTGGTTTGGACGATGAGACGACGCTGAATGGCTTTTGTAGTAATGATGTTTTTTGATGATGATGTTTTTTGTTAATACTGGATTGTGGATTATTTTATATTGTGTCTTGAATTTGAACCTTGTTCTATGCTGTACACCGGTGTGAGTCGCCCCCGGGCTGAGAACAGCAGTATATAAGCAAAGTAAATAAATAAATAAATAATCTGGATTATATGGCAGTGTAGAAGGGGCCTAAGGATGGATTTACACAGCCATATAAAATCCAGATTATCTGCTTTGAATGGCAGTGTAGGCTTATATAATCCAGTTCTAAGCAGATAATGCTTGGATGATCTGGATTATATGGCAGTGTACAAGTGGCCTGAGTGACACGGCCGGTTTTCCAAGGTGTCCTTAGCCATTCTTGAATATGGAGGACCAACTGTGGAACGAGCACGAGTCTTTTCCTTCCCGCGCAGGCGCACTAGCCCTGCCGTAGCCTTCTCCCCGCCTTCTGCCGAGCAGACTCCGGGGGGCCAATCAGGAGGCCGGTGGGCGTGGCCTCCCCGGGGCTGTACACAGCCACCACGTGGAGCATGCCAGTGGCCCCCGAGACAGCGGCGGAGGCGGACGTGTTGGCGGAGCCAGAGCGCGGGAAACGCCGCTGCAGGGAGCCATGCCGCCTCTTCTCCCTTCCCGTGGGGATCCTAAATGAAATAACATCCAAACACCCCGCTTCACGTTGCCTTCATCGCAAGGCCAAGCCGGTGCTGTTGTTGCGGCTGCAGGAAGGGCGCGCTGCCTCTCTCTCTCCTCCCTTCCTCCCTCCGGCTGGCCTTTTCCCGAAGTCCTGCTGCAGAGGACTGCGGATCGGAGCCGGGATGGAAGCATGGCACCGGAACCGGCGTCGCCAAAGCGGCAGGGTAAGAGAGCAGCTCCTCATCCGGGGATCCTCCTCTTGGGGGGCTTCCTGAGCGCCTCCCCCCCCCCCCCCCCCCCCAGTGCTTTGCCTCTTCTGTGTTTGGGACTTCAATTCCCAGAAACCTGAAGGTTGGAAAGGCCTGTTTATAGGGAATCTATGGAGGAGATAGTTGAAGTATTCCCTGCTTTAGAGATGGATGATCATAATGCATGGCATTCCTTTGGCTCTCTTTAGAGACTGAGAAAATGCAGGCAATAGCAAGGCCTATTGAAATGAATGGCTCCTGGCCTGAGAATGCCATAGAGATATGCTGAAGGCCTAAAGAAGGACATGGTGTGTCTGATGTGGGCACTGTATTGGCCCACAACATAAGCCCCTTCTACACTGCCATATAATCCAGATTATTATTATTTTTTTGTCATTGAGAAACTGCAAGTCGCTTCTGCTGTGAGACAGTTGGCCGTCTGCAAGGACGTTGCCCAGGGGACGCCCGGATGATTTGATGTTTCTACCATCCTTGTGGGCGGCTTCTCTCATTTCCCTGCATGGGGAGCTGGAGCTGATAGAGGGAGCTCAGAAGAGCAAAGCAGATTGATTTATTTTTTTTGTCGTTGAGAAACTGCAAATCGCTTCTGGTGTGAGAGAATTGAATGTCTGCAAGGGGACGCCTGGATTTTTTGATGTTTTTACTATCCTTGTGGGAGGCTTCTCTCATGTCCCCACATGGGGAGCTGGAGCTGATAGAGGGAGCTCAGATGAGCAAAGCAGATTGATTTATTTTTTTGTCGTTGAGAAACTGCAAATCGCTTCTGGTGTGAGAGAATTGGCCATCTGCAAGTACGTTGCCCAGGGGATGCCCGGATGTTTTGATGTTTTACCACCCTTGTGGGAGGCTTCTCTCATGTCCCCGCATGGGGAGCTGGAGCTGATAGAGGGAGCTCATCCGCGCTCTCCCCAGACCTGTCGGTCTTCAGTCTTGCCAGCACAAGGGTTTAACCCACTGCGCCACCGGGGGCCCCTAGCAAAGCAGATAATCCACATTATCTGCTTGGAACCGGATTATATGAGTCTCCACTGCCAGATAATCTAGTTCAAAGCAGATAATCTGGATTTTGTATGGCAGTAGAAGGGGCCTTAGGGAGGAGCAATCCCCTTGCAAGGTAAGCATCCCAAGGCTGCCATCTTGGTCTGTTTCAGTATAAAAACACCTAAGGCAGTCTTGGAAACTGACCGAGACAAAGCCATTTTTAGCATCTGCTTTATTGAACTTCATTGCTGGCTCTGATGAAACGGATTAAACATTTCTTTGCGCCAGTTACTCTCCTAGATGTCCAAGTATTTCCTTGCAAGGATAGTCAATCTTTGTGCCTTTCTGCCACATGAGCAATCTCTGGCCTCCCAGAGGTCTGCGATAAGTAAAGGTTTTCCCCTGACATTAAGTCCAGTCGTTTCCAACTCTGGGGGGTTGGTGCTCAACTCCATTTCTAAGCCGAAGAGTCGCCGTTGTCCATAGACACCTCCAAGGTTATGTGGCCAGCATGACTGCATGGAGCACGGTTACCTTTCCGCTGGAGCAGTACCTATTGATCTACTCACATTTGCATGTTTTCGAACTGCTAGGTTGGCAGAAGCTGGGGCTAACAGCAGGACCTCACCCCCGTTCCCCGGATTCAAACCTGCGACCTTTTGATCAGTGAGTTCAGCAGCTCAGCGCTTTGACCCACTGTGCCACTGGGGGCTCCCAGTGATAGATAGATATGTCAACACATTGCACTGCACAACAGTGCAATGTATTGACATATGTTTATAGTGGCCCTTAAGACACCTCTCTTGCTGTACAGTAAGGTGGACATTGGAGGAACCTTTGGCCTTTTGTATTTTCTGCCTCTTTTAAGCCTTGACAATGATCTGGGGCCTTCAAGACATAGGCCCTGTTTACCTTTCCATCCATCATGAAACACAGCAGGCGGATCACACATCTCTAAGCCCATGGTACCAAAATCCATAGATGCTCAAGTTATGTAGTATACAGCGCTAGTCAAATGGTGTCCCTTATGTAATATGGCAACATCACAGCTTGCTTTTGGGGGGATTTATTTGGAATCTTTTCAAGCCATGGTTGGTTGACTCCATGGATACGGAGACTAACAATAGAGGGATCTAGGCCCCGATTCACAGTCAAGAGGGAAGTGGAATTAAAGGGAACTAACGTTGGGCAGTCCTTGGTAGCGCAGCGGGTTTAACTGCTTAGCTGCTGAACTTGCTGACTGAAAGGTCGGTGGTTTGAATTTAGGGAGCAGGGTGAGCTCCCGCTATTAGTTCTAGCTTCTTCCAACCTAGCAGTTCGAAAACATGCAAATGTGAGTAAATCAATAGGTACCTTTTCAGCGGGAAGGTAATGGCACTCCATGCAGTCATGACCTTGGAGGCGTCTATGGACAACGCTGGCTCTTTGGCTTAGAAATGAAGATGAGCACCACCCCCCAGAGTCAGACACCACTAGACTTAATGTCAGGGGAAAACCTTTACCTTTACTTTAGCATTGGGCAGAGTTAAAGTGTTGAGATACAACTGGACAGATACATGTTGTTATGAAGCCCATGAGGTGACCTTGGGCCAGTCGCTGTTGATCAGCCTGTTTACTCAGGGAAAGCCCTTGAAATCATGTTCATGTCTCAGGGAACCCCGAATCAAAAATAAATATGTCCACAGCTCCAAAATCCCTTGCTGTGCCCATATCCCCAACCTATGTTCTAATTCTGATGTAGGGGGAAAGGAGGTGAATCGGGAGAGGGGTGGCTTTGAATATGATAGATGCATATAATAAACATACAGCTCCAGTTTGCTACAAGTGACTTGGCCTTGTGTGCCCCCTATTGATAGAGCCAGGGACTCCAGTGCTTGAATGCATCTCCAACAGTAGGGCCATTTGTGTGAGACCACTGGCTCATCTAGTTTCCTAGTGGAAATTACATAGCTCTTCTGTTGTTCCTGGACTGCAGGTCCCACTGGCGATGAAATGGGAGGTGCAGTGAAATAGAGAGGTCGGCAGGATTCCCCCCCCCCCCCCTGTCTGTGTAGTAGCATCTGTTCAGAGGTTTGCATCTCTGTTTTTCCCAACTGTCCTGCAAATGCTGGGGGTTGGACCTGGGACTTACTGCATGCAAAGCACTCTGTGGTTGTACGGAGAGCTCTTCTGTCGGTTTCCAAATAACTGTTCGGAGACTCCAACTAGTCCAACTGGCAGCAGTCAGATTACTCACTGGAGCGCGATACAGGGAGCACACCACCCTCCTGTTATGTCGGTTCCACTGGCTACCGGTCCACCTCTGAGCACAGTTCAAAGTGCTGGTCTTGGCCTATAAAACCCTATACGGCTCCGGCCCAGCTTACTTGTCCAAACGTATCTCCCTCTACATTCCACCTCGTAATTTAAGATCTACTGGGGAGGCCCTGCTTTCGGTCCCACCGGCGTCACAAACGCGTCTGGTGGGGACGAGGGACAGGGCCTTCTCAGTGGTGGCCCCACACTTGTGGAATTCACTCCCCAGCAAGATCAATATCAGCGTTAACCCTCCTTTAGAAAAAAAAACTAAAATTGTGGTTGTGGAACCAGGCTTTTGGCTAGTGGGCACAGCAGCACTTTAGACACTGAACCCAGGACTGTTACGACAATTGGAAATGGCTATGTGACTATGTGATTATAATTAATGTTACTGTTTTTAATTTGCTATATATTATGTTTTTACATTGTGTTACTGATACTGTGGCTTCCTGTGTTAGCCGCCCTGAGTCCCCCCTTGGGGGTGAGAAAGACGGGATAGAAATTGTGTAAATAAGTAAATAAATAACCGCAGGCTCAAAGGTTTCCAAGGTCAACGAGGTGACAGATTGGCAAGTTCGAACCCGTTTCCCCTCCCTCTTTTCTTTTTTTTCTTCTGTACGAGTTCCTGCCCTGTTCCATGCAGCCTGTGTGTTGTCATCCGGCTCTTGGCAGTGGCTGCCGTCTTCCCTCCGGTTGCCAGGAAGTCTCTCGTCAGCATCTGGCCAGGATGCTGGGGGGACAGCAAGGTGCCAGGAAGAGAACACGCACTTCCCGTGTTTCCCTCACCCCTGCTACTGGGTCTCTCTCCCCCTCCTTTATACTTCCCTTCCATAAGCTCATTTCTCTTCTTTGCTTACCCATTGCAGGTCCATCCCATGATGGATTACAAAGCCACGCTCACCAGCACAGTTTTTCTGGAGCCCTGAGGAACCAGGAGCAACCCTTTCTTGCTTGCTATTTCTCTGTTCTTCTCCTCTGGATGCAGGCGGATCACGGAGCCACTTCCCCCTGGGTTCTGCCCCAATGTGTCCTTTCCTGCGGTGTTGGATAGACTGCTGCTGAGCCGATCCGAGAAGACATTTCTTTGGACTGGGCCACACAGAGTGGCTCTTCGCAGCTTGCTGGCCCCTCTGAGAGCCTTGATGGGACAAAGGTTTTTTTAAAACTGAGATTAATCTGGTTGGCTTTACTCAGAGGAAGGTTGTCTGGCTACCCCTCCAGTGACCGGGCATTTCTTTGCCTGGACGCACCTCTAAGGAATAGAGACAAAGAGCATCAGGCAAGCCAGGATCCTAAGCCAAGTTTCTAGGAAGCTGGTTGTGCTTCTCAGAGAACAAACCACAACAAGAAAGTCCTCCTCAAGGCCTCTTTTCCTCCTCCAAACCTTTGGCCTTCCTTCCTCCCAGAATCCAGTGGCCAGTTCATACTCCCACTTATGGTTTTCGGAAGCCATTGAGAAAGAAACTAAAGGATGATTCTGTTCACAGAGTCATGTCCCATGGTGCTTCCTTCATACCTTACTAACAAATATGGTTTCTCTGTGATGGAGATGGACAGACCTTTGGCTATGGCAACATGAGACAACATTTTCTCAGGGGCTAAGATCACTGGGCACTTTGAATCTAGAGCTCAGTGATAATCTCATACTCACCGGGGAGAAAATTACACCGACTTTTACTCTGTCCCCCCAAAAACGATAGGAGTGAAGAAACAGAATTATATGCTATTGGACCTGGGAGAATTCAAGCAGTGGTTTGCATTGTGGCCAGAACTAGCGTGAACTTTTCTGGCCCGTCAGCGCCGTGGCTAGTATCTACATGGAAGACCTGAGCAAATCCGCCTCGTGGCTGAGGGCCGAGCTGGCCTCCCCTTCCCCATGTCTCCACATCCTCGATTGCCGCAGCCGGGAGCTGTACGACTCGTCCCACGTGGAGCGAGCCCTGAGCGTGGCCCTCCCGGGGTTGCTGCTCCGGCGCCTCCGCAAAGGGAACCTTTCTGTCCGATCCTTGCTGCCTGCACCACCGCAGGGTCTCCGGGACAACCCTGTCCTGCTGTATGATGAGGGAACACTTCATCTGCCCCAACAAAGGGGTCATGAGGATGACGAAGACTCGGTTCTGGTGACATTGCTGCAGAAGCTGCGGGAGGAAGGTTGCTCGGCTTACTATCTCCAGGGTGAGTGTACAGGAGAAAGTAGTGTTTGTGGGAGAAGGAAGTGTGCTTGTATGCCTGCGTGGGGGTTTTCTTACTCTATTTCGAAAGCAGCAAGTGTTTCCATTAAATTGCTTTTGCATTTTAGTCCAAACTTTAAAGGGGCAATCCAAGGTGCTGGAACCTATCCTCAAAAATATTCACAATCTAATGTATAGTTTTGTTGAGGTTCAGACGTAACACCCAGAATGAATTTGCTACCCCATTGACATGTAAACCTCCTTTCGTGTCAGGGAGAAGGTGAAATAATAATAATAATATAATAATAATAATAATAATAATATTTTATTTATATACCGCTCCATCTCCCCGAGGGGACTCAGAGCGGTTCCCAAGTAACATCACAAAACAGACAGAGTAAAAACAACATAACCATATGATTAACAAACAAAATATAAGCATTAAAATTGTCGCCATAACACACATATATTAAAAGTAATCCTGCCTTTTCAAGGCAATTAAAAAATTTAAAAGGCCGGGCCAAGATTTGTGCAAGCCCAAAAATTTTAGGGGCCCTGGGATTTAAGTGCAATGCTATGGCAGACAACAATAATATTAGGGACGTGTCTGTGGCTGTTCATTCCGGGGCCGATTAGAGGAAAGAATCTGGGTAATTGGTAGGAAGAATAAGGTCGTATTAGACAATGTGTAGGGCTGAGTTAGAACTGGTCATTTTCAAAGGCTTGTTGAAACCACCAGGTCTTCAAGCTCTTACGAAAGGAGGGGAGGGATGGGGCCTGTCTTATTTCCCTTGGAAGGGCCTTCCAGAGACGGGGGGCCATCACTGAGAAGGCCCTCTCTCGTCCCCACCAACAGCATAGCTGCCCAATTGGAATATAGAGGGGGCCATGGTACTGTTGAACTTTCAATTACTTAAGTGTGTTTACTGTATATAGTGGCCCTTAAGACACATCTGATGCTGATGTTGAAACTGTCAGTCTGCATTAACTCTATAGCATGGATGCATCCCTAGATGAAGAGTCAACTTTTAAGATTGAGTCTCTGACTAGAACCCTCCCACAACTCTCCAAGTACAATATTGGGGCAAGAGAACTTGTCTGAATGCTTATTAAGATCTCTTAAGTGGTGGAGACACAGGTAACTCCTGGTGTTCAAAGAACATTTGCTGCCACTGAACTTTTGTCCCCAAAGACCCCACCTTCCAGAAGTCTAGGGTCCTGTATCAAAGCAGATAATCCACATTATCTGCTTTGAACTGGATTATATGAGTCCACACTGCCATATAATCCAGTTCAAAGCAGATAATCTGGATTTTATATGGCAGTGTAGAAGGGGCCAAGGAGAAAGAAGATCTGTGTAGGGACAGTAACTGTGGCAGTCCAAAGAGGAGGTGATCATGGTGTTTAGGGCAGAGCTAGAGTAGGTCTGGTTCTCAAAATATCTTTGGATGCCTTTTCTAGTAACCCTAGACAATATGGCTAAGAATGACAGGAGACAAAGCCTAGCAACGTTGGGAGATACATGTATTTCTTTTTTTTTTGCTGTTTTGTTTCATTTTTAAGTATAGGTTGAGTAACTTGGCACAAGAAACGTATTTGCATATACTGTGCATAATGAGATATCTTGGAGACGGGACCCAATCTAGACAAATTAATGTTTATTTCATATACACAGAACTTGAAGGTAGTTTCATAAGTGAAATATAAAATGCCTGTGTCCATTGAACCATCAGAAAATAAATATTTCGTACTCTCAGCCACTCATGTTGACAATATTGGGGTATTTTAACATTATGGATAATAGATGCTCGACCTGTTCTAAAATCCACCTGATGATGATGATTCTTCTTATTATTATTATTTTATTTCGTACCTGCCACTTCTCATGGCTCGAGGCAGGTTACAAACAATTAAAATACATAAACACAGCAAAAACACTACAAATACACTAAAACGTACCTCCATAAAAGTGACATACCAAAACGTATCTCTATGAAACACATCTCACCATGCTAAAACAGTGGATGGGGCTCTTAATGAGACATGCCACATTATCACAGGATGTCTGTGCCCTATACCACTGGAGAAAATACACTGTTTAGCTGGTATTGCACCACCTGACATCTGCCAGGAAGTAGCAGCCAATAACAAAAGGCAGTGGCATCTCCGTCCCATCCTCTTTTCGGATATCATCCACCACACCAACGCCTTAAATCAAGAAATAGTTGCCTAAGATCTACAGAGATACTCACAGAAACACCTCAGCAAGCAAGAATCCAAAAGTGGCAGGCTGAAACCCAGAACCTCAATCCATAGCTGATAGCAAATGAGAGACTCCTTCCTGAGCACACAGAAGGCTGGGCAACTTGGAAGGCGCTGTACAGATTGTGCTCTGGCACCACGAGATGCAGAGCCAACCTTAAGAAATAGGGCCACAAAGTGGAGTCTACGACATGCGAGTGTGGAGAAGAGCAAACCACAGGCCACCTATTATAATGTAGTCTTTGCCCTGCAAGATGAACAATGGAGGACCCTCTTATGGCAACATCGGAGGCGGTCAAAGTGGCTAGTTACTGATCAAAGGTTTTAAAAAAATATATTACAACAGTACCCTTGGTTTGCTTCCGATATGATAAATATAATAAATAAATCTCTATGAAATGCATATTAAAACAAACAAAACAGAGATTAAACTAAGGACATGCATTAAAATTCATGTTTATGTTTAAAGACTGGGTAGGCCTGCTGGAAGAGACAGGTCTTCACTTGTGTCTTAAATTCCGAAGCTGATTTAGCTGTTGGAGCTCTACCAGAAGGTCATTCCACATCCTTGGGGAGGCCGATGAGAAGGTCCTCTGGGTGGTTGTTGAGGTCTTTAGTCTTCTCTGTCAAAGAGACACCCCCCAGAAGACTCAAGTGTGTGGGACAGATTGCCCCTCCTGCCCTTACTACACCTGCAGACTCTCAAAAACTTCACCTGCTGCTTGCTACCCAGCTCTTACAAGATGTAGGGATAGCCCTGCCAAAGAATGAAGCGAAGTTGGCAACTCAACCTAGATATACTCTGGGAAACTCTTTGGCACCTGCCCAAGCTTACCATGCTTCCTCGCTGATCAGTCCCAGTTATTTGGGCCAAGGGACAGGATCCAGTGGTTGGTGGGGTTGCCAACTTTTCAGGTGGGGTGTTGGGATTGTGCTTTGCTCTGCAGGCACTGGTACATACTGATTTTGATCCTTTGTGGGTTTTTTTAAAAAGGCATCAGCTGGCAATTTCATACAGTACATTCTTGCTGAAAAGCAGAAGTACACAATGGTTTGTTTTCCTTAGAATCACAGAGTTCCTGAGAATCATAGAGACCAACCCTTTGCCGTGTCTTACCTCATTAAAAATAGAGAACTGAAAGAGACCTCAAGGCCCATTTGGTCCAACCTCATTATGCCACAGTCAAAGCACTCCTGACAGTCTCTGTTTAAAAACCTCCAAAGAAAGAAACTCCCAACACATGCCAAGCCAACGTAGTCCACTGTCAAACAGTTCTTACCATCAGGAAATTCCTCCAAATATTCAGGTGGAATCTCTTTCCCTGTGTCCTTCTTCATGTCCTAGGCTCCACAACAGCACAGAACAAGTTTGTCTCTTTCTCATTGTCACATCCTTCCAAATGTTTAGATATAGCTAAACAGACCCATGAAGCTAAACAGGCAACGAAGATCCGCATAGTTAAAGCAATGGTATTTCCTATAGTCACGGATGTGAGAGCTGGACCATAGGGAAGGCTGAGCGAATGAAGATAGATGCTTTTGAACTGTGGTGTTGGAGAAAAGTTCTGAGTGCCTTGGACCGCGAGAAGATCCAACCAGTCCATACTTCAGGAAATAAAGCTCGACTGCTTATTGGAGGGAAGGATTGTAGAGGCAAAGATGGAGTACTTTGGCCACATAATGAGAAGACAGGAAAGCTTAGAGAAGACAATTATGATGGTGAAAATGGAAGGAAAAAGGAAGAGGGGTCAACCAAGGGCAAGATGGATGGATGGGATCCTTGAAGTGACTGGATTGACCTTGAAGGAGCTGGGGGTGGTGATGGCCGACAGGGAGCTGTGGCGTGGGCTAGTCCATGAGGTCACAAAGAGTCATAAATGACTGAACGAATGAACAACAACAAAACAGACCCACTTCCCTCAACTGTTCATCATAGGTCTTGGCTTCCAGACCTTTACTCATTTTGGTTGCCCTTTTCTACACGTTTCATCTTGTCCATATTTTTCTTGAATTGTGGGGCTCTGAACTGACACGGGTGAGGTCTGATCAAAGCAGAATGGAGTGGAACTATGACTTCTCTTTATCTAGACACATAAATAGTATTTTATGCAGACTCAAATCACATTGGCTATTTTAGCTGCCACATCACATTATTGACTCATAATGTCTAGATCCCTTTCACATATAGAGTTGGTAACTCTAATGGTGATCATAGGGTTCATTCTGTGCCACCAATCCCTTCCACACCTTTCTAGTTCTTACTATGGTGCAGGGGTAGAGGACCCATAGGACTCTACAAGCTTTGAATTGCACCTCCCACAATATTGTTGACCAGGATGGCTTGAACTTCTGTGATCTGAAGTTTGCAAAAATCTAGAGGACTGAAATGTCTCCACCCTTGTTATAAATACACATTAAGTCCCCACCTCTGTTGTCCTGGGTGGTGTCTTCCTGTGATTTATCCCCTGGTCTGGTGAGCCAGAGAGTATTTGTATCAATGGATTGTGGGAGAGGCTGGTGAGATAAGCCTGACTGTGCATCTGATTAGGAAAACATAGTGCTGCTTTGGGGAAAGTCCCAGTTTCCTTCACAATTCTTGAAGCTACAAGATTCCTCTTCTCTTTTCCCCAAAACCATGCTCGCCTTTCCCCTGCCATCTCCCATACTTGACAAATAAATAGTTGAACACTTATATTTTCCTATGCTAAGGAAAAACCATGATAGAGGATTCTAAGCAGATGT